CTGCGTGCGCGGGAGCCTTAGCGGGAGGGGGAGCGGGGTGCTGGGCTAATCGCCGTGCTCTTCTCTTCGTGGTGGCTTTGGCACGTTGAATCCCTACGGGTGTCTCACTCCCGCTTTCTGCCAGTCCGGAAAATCGGTGTTGGCAAACTTTGTTTCGGAGAGCACAGAAGGGATCGGCAGCTGCAGCCCGACGCAGGGCGTGAGGTGAGTGAAAGCCGGTGGGACGGTGACCGCACCGAGCCCTGGCAGCCGCCCGCCCCTCGGGCAGCCGGGGCGGTGCCGCAGTGCCCATCCGCTCCTTTCCGCAGGATCCTGGAGTACGAGAAGCCGAACTTGAGCGGGAACAGCAAGGGAGCCGGGTGTCGATTTGAGTTGTGGGATTGCAGTGGTGATCAAAAGTAAGCCAGCATCGCTGTTACTGCCTCCAGGTTACTTAATTCATAATGCTTCTGTTTACACAAAATATTCATACTTACGGCCTAAAACCAATGGTCTTTTTGAGATGAGGAATATTCCTGACTCTTTACTCCATTAAATTTTTTCATAACTTTCTGCTATAAAGCATCTGATACTAAGTGCTCTCTGCCATGATCCCAGCTGACACTGAACCTTGGTTTGGATAAGGACCGAGTATAGCAGTGAAGTCCATCGCTCCTAGAATGAAGTCACAGGTACAGGAGACAGAGGGAGGCCCACTCTGTAATTACCTTTATCTCCTTGAAGTTATTACATGAATGGACTTGAAGTGAGGTGTATATATGATTGAAGCCTTAGTTTCAAAAAAATGCAATTGAGAACCTGACAGATCTGTTGTTAGCGGAAAAGTTTAAATAAGCATTTGACCAAATACTACATTGTCAGCAAGTCATGGGACCAACTAACGTAACAGGTAAGTCAGAATATTTAGAATATGATAGATCACTGTCAAGGTTACTAACATTACAATAAAGAAAAAGTACTGAAATGTGTTCTTGAGGAGGGAATAAATTTTGAGGAGTCTGAGTGCATGTTTTTGTTTTCCAGCTGTCAGTCTTACTGTTTTCCATGCATCTGTTTTTCAAGGTTTGAAACATGCTGGCCAGCTCTGATGAAGGACTCTCATGGCGTAATAATAATCTTCAATCCTGAGCTGCCCAGTCACCTGAAAGAAATTGAAATGTGGTACTCCTCTTTTGTGCAGCAGCAGCCACTGCTTGATAGTCAGTGTCTCCTGGTTGCACATCACAAGCCAGGCAGTGCGGGGGACACAGAAAATCTGTCCTTGGGTAAGAAGATGGAAACTCGATCTGTAACTCAGAGGTTTTTTTATTGATATGTGTATCTTTAAAATTGTTCATACCTTATGGCTTGCATTTTTTCATGTAAATCTGCCAAGCAAAGAATAGTGGAGTGCTTTGCAAAAACAGAAATAATGGATTTCAAAGGTCATCTAGAAGGTGAGCAATATTCCTGTTTCACAAAAGGGAAAGCAAAGGCAAGAAAAGTTTGAGTGACTGACTTCTCTAAAGTCACCCAGTGAGTATGCAGCTCAGCCAGGAATTGGAACTCCTGACATACTTCATCATCACTAGTAGTTTGTTTCTTCCATTGAGTTTTATCTTTTGTTAACTGACACTTTTGAGGCCGTTTCAGCCTGCATTTTATCAATCAAAAGAATAGGAGCCCTTTGAAATAAAAGGCTAATGATCTTCCTCTTAAAATTGGTAATAGGTACCTTATATACCACAGAATTAGTTGTGGCTCTTTATACAAATGAGAACACTCCCTCTGGGCAGCCTGTTCCAGTGTTCAAACAAATACATATTTATTATAAGTATTAATGTGTGTGTTTAATGTAGCAGGATCGCTCCATCATTTTGAAGTAATCAGAGAATGTCCTATCGCTTCAATAGTACAACTGCAATTCGGTGGTGAATTGTTTGATTCTGCCTAACCGAATGTGAGGCCAAACCCAGTACTTTAAGCTTTAACAATAACGTTTGAAGAATTTAACGTAGCAATAAGTTGTACTTTTTTGTAAAGCTATGATGCATTCCTTCTTCACGTGTTCTGTGTTACCTGGGGGAGCATCAAACATGGGATACTACTGAATTCCAACCGACTTCCGCAGGAGCTGTCCCCTGCCCTTGAGTGCGAGTATCTCTTCTGAAAGGAATATACCTAATTATTTTTTTATTTACCTTCAAAGCTTACCCGCTGAACAAGCTAAAACTAATTCATTCCAACTTAGAAGAGGATCCTGAAGATGTTCGGATGGAATTTATGAAATACTTCAGAAGCATTATCACCTTAATAAATGAAAGCAGAGAGAGGGAAGAAATGTCAATTATCTCATAACGTTAAAATAGATACTGAACAGGGGAAAAAAAGAATTATTGTCACTTTGTAAGCTATACTGGCCTGTGAACAGGTCCCCACAGTGAGAATTTGCCAGCCTATAAACACTTCAGCCAATAACCAAGTGCTGACACCAGATGAACTGTGGTGCCAGAGAGATGGCTGCACATCCAGGAATTTGGGTAACTAGCATCGGAGGTAGAGGAAGGTATTTGAAATGTTAGTGTGGGCCAAAAGATAAAGGTACAGCTTATCTCTTCACTTCGGAATCCCTTTTTGTAGAGGTGCTAAGAGAAGAAAGCCTGTCAGAACGTACAATTTGGGGAGTTCTGTTGAAGCATCCGAGTGAAGTGCTCGTGTTAGCTACGTTCCTGGAGAAGTCACGCTTTCAGACGTCAGTACAAACTGGTTGGAATGGAGATCTGAGAAGCAGCTGTGGTGTTGAACCCACATTTTTATGTTTCAAGTTCTCCCTATCTTTCTGTCCAGCGTCAGGAGAGCACATTGCATAGCTATGGCCTCAGCAAGACAGAGTAGTAGGTCGCTCTCAGGACTAGGTTTTTCTTCTATTCCAACAAGATAAACATGTTGTTGGGGACAATGTTTAGGTCCCTCTGGGAGGAACAGAATTGAAATCTCAGTGTAGTGCAATACTTTGACCTATGTTGGGAGCTCCAATAGAGGGAAAAAAAGGTCTGCGTTGTCCAGAGGAGGAAAAGCTATTTTGAAACTTGCATTACTGTCCCTTGTTGCATTGAAGTGAGTGGTTCCTTAGATAATTTACTTTTTGATTTGTTTGGTTTGCACTCATCCCTGTTCTTAGTGTTTTGCTGTGGAAAACATGGAGTACTAAGGCAATAAAAACATCTTTAAAATGCATCGGTTTTGTTCTCAAAGGGAAAATTAATTGTGGTTTTGTGGAACTTTTATCGACTTGCTCAATTTTTAGTACAGAAAACAGTGATAGATTTGTAGAATTAGCTCCAACAAGAGACATTTACAAAAACTTTTCGCAGATTCAAGTAGCCAAAGAAATTACAAAACCAGAAGTGTGTATCCATACTGACACACACGTGTTTTTTTTTTTTTCCCCATAAGATAATTTAAAGGAGCAGAAATCCTTGAGAAGCATCCCCTTTCAACGTGTTCTGCTGCTCACCTTGTGAAGTGTGAGATCAGTGGCTTGTCAGAACTGTGTCTGACCCACAGCCCTGCATTTTACAGACTTTGTTTCACCACGTATGCATGCCGTACAGCTACATTTGAGCTGCAGGTGTTTGTTCAAACAGCCTTGTCCTCACACCAACATTGTCTTTCAGCAAACATCCTTTATGTACGTTATAAAACAGGAAGTACTTGATGCTTTTTAGTTCAAGACAACAAGAGTGAGAGCTGCTTGCGTTTTTCAGTGATCTAGGTTAATTAGTCTACTACTATTCCTATTTTCATAGTTCATTCTTTTCCGAGTAATGAGTAGCCTATCCTTGTGCGAATATTCTGTTTTCCAAGATGACAAGAAGAGATGCCTCAAAAATCTACTTAGTTCTTTACACCTTTCTCCTGGCCTTCCAACAGTGTGCAGTTGGGGCTCACTCCAGGGATTGGTCTGGGAAGCTTCAGTGAGAGCCGAGAGCAGTCAGGGTGTGGTGCGCTGCCGTGGGCTGGTGTTAGCAGGAGCTCAGGTCTTGGCCTCACCTCCTCAACATGCCCACAGGTCTCAAGGCAAAAAATTGCCCCTCCTTTCATCAGTCCCCTTCTATGAGATTCATTGTAGTGGCATAACAATGAATGACTGTAGCAACTCAAAGTAAGTTACCTTTATGGTTGTTTTCAGGTAGGAGAAAATTTTTCAGTTATTTTCATATACTGCTTGAAGCACTTCTACATCATCATGCTCAAAATCAACAAACGCATTGCTAGAGCCCGAAAGCCTCTTCATCCCAGTTGTGTTTGGTACTTCCCCAGCTATTTTTCTCTTTGATTATTAAGCCCTGTTTATTTAAAACAAAGGCATGTGAGGTGAAAGATTAGAAGAAGATCTTAGAACATTTCGAAGTGGTAAAACTAATGGCTACAAATAACACAACGGAACATACTGAGCTAGGCTCATACTGGAGAGAATTGCTAGTCCAATGATAGGCTGGTTTGCTCAGGTTGGAACCAGGCGTGTGGCGTGTGAAGTTGCGTGCGCCCCCAAATAACCTGCGCTGGTCTTCTCTAGGGTGCGCGGTGTGCTCACAGCTGGTTTGCTGCCCCAGCTTCTTGTCATTGTCTGCTGGCTCCTCTTCTGCCATTAAGGCTAAAAGCTCCACTCAGTTCAGAGAGGAAAAGAGGGGGTGGTACTGAAAGAAAACATCAGCGAGAGGAAAGACATCAGGAAAGCAAAAAGCAAAATAAGCAATAAGAGATGAAAAGAAAAGGTTGGAGGCCAATAGTGGGAGGTTGGCATTTCAACATCTACATTTTATGTATATGACTTCTCAAACAATCAGGCTTTATATGTTTGCAATCAGTGACGTAGGGTGGTCTCTTGGAGGCAGTTATTGGAAAATTCAGTCTAACTAGAGAACAAGTTTTTTACATGCTGCCTTAGATTATTTTTTCCTTGTTGCCAGCTGTGTGATGCTGGAACCAATTTTTAAAATATACTGCCTTAATAAATCCAGTTTTTCCCCAACAGCAACATTGGGATACACACTGATAAAAACTGGTGTGAAACGCACCAAATATTTTATTTGCAATGTAACCAGTGTTTGGGAGATTCCAGGGTTGAAAAGTCACTGAACTTCCCTATTCACCACCTTGCTTTATATAAAACATCAATCAAGATCTTTTTTAAACTCAAAAAAAGGATGTAAATTACAGGTATCTATATACCGCAACGCCTTGTTCATCAGAGAAGAAAACTGCTGTTAGAACCAAACCCAGATCCCTAGACTTGATTTTATATCATCCAGAAAGTTCATAATATGTAATATATGTGGAACATCATTCATAAAATCTGTCCAAGAGATTAATTTCCGTGACTGGTGAAAAACAGAGTAAATACAAAATTAATCCTTAGTATTGGAGAAGATACAGAGAAAGTATGTATTCAGAGGTGTCATTTATTAATGGGTTACGAAATAGGTCAACAGAGACACCCAGTCAGATGAGGGGTACGAGAGTGCCAGATGAACATATGTTCCATCTCTGTCTCTGCCCTTCACAGCCTGCCTGCCCTGTGCTATCGGTACCTCTGCAGGGCTTCAAACAACGCCACATCACGGCATTACTCAGATCGGGGGTGCGCAGTCCTGTCTGCCTGAACGGTGGGGTCAGTAAGTGACTGTCCTATGGCTCTGTCCATGCTTCTGCTTGTGAGAGCAAAGAATTGCCCAGGCAAGTGTAAAGAAAAGTGGGAACAGGAGGTAATCGGCCACAAGGTACATGGAAGTCAGTTCACAAGCCACAGGTTTAACTGGGAGTAGGAACAGTTTAGGAGCAGAAGATAACAGCAAATTTGCAGCAAAAGCACTCTGGTTTGCTCTTCCACACTGAGGACCTTGCCACCATGCTTGGAAGTTTGGAAAGGCTTTTTGGATGACCTTTCCAAGAAGTGGAAGGAAAGGCAGAGAACCAGTGAAGTCTGTCAACTCCACCAACCAAACAGCCTTCTCTAGGTGTCCTCAGTCCCTTAGAGTGAGCAGTTTACGTCCCCTTCTCATTCTGTCAGCAGCCATGTACCCCCAAACCCCTGCTTTGTATGAACTGTGCACAAATGGAAGTCTCAAGAGTTCCCTGTCCCTTTCACTGGTTCCTTGTCCATACTGGAATTCAGTGGCTATTTGTTCCAGTGGCTTTTCTGTGATCACCCGCATTGTCATGGTTTGGGGAACTGGGGCTGGAATCAGGGGCAAAGAACATTTTGAGTATTAACTCATTCAAATACTTTCAGTCTCCACAGTGCAGCATGCAAAGACTCCAGGATACACCAGCTGTGCAGTGAGAAAACAACCTGTTACTTAAACAGAAGTTACTCAGGTGCAACCTTATTTTGTCACTTGGCATTGAATACTGATAATCCCGACAGCTTACATCTCTAGATTTATGATGTACAGAAATGATTTTCAAAGTTTAATTGCTGTATAGCTACAAAAAGGTTTATAGCTATAGGTGAGCTCTACTCAAGTTCACACTCTTCTCCCATAAAAGTAGTTGGTACATCATTGCTTTGAACAGTTGACCATCTGGACAGAGTCAGCATGGAAATTTGGTAGGGTGCAGTCAGAATCAGAACTCTGCAGGGCTAGAAATGTGGAATTTTAAGACTGCAGGGTCATATATAGAAAGCTAATCGCTGTGGCTACTTTGCAGACTGGTGATTTAAGACATTTAAGCTCTTCAATTATAACATGGTTTGCTCAGGTTACCTCTTACAAGCTGTCTTCTGCACACACAGAACATTACGAAGCCAATAACTACTTGTGATGATGAAAACAGTTACAGGCACTGCAATCCAGATGTGTGGCTTTCGGGGTAAAAATCATACTTGTTTACAACCAAATTTTGGGAGTAGCAGCAAAGCCGAATGAAATACATTTGGACCTTACCAAAAAAATGCTGCTTTCCTTTCAAGTCATATATTTTGAAGGCCAGACCCTTGGTCTCAGTTGCTCTCAGCAGTATTGTTCTAATGGACACAATAGACATAAGAAATCCTGTGTTCCTATTTCTATTATTGCACTGCCAAGTGACTACAAGGAAGTCACGTAGGCCACCACATTTAAGACTGCCCATCCATGCTGTGTTTTTGCATGCTCAGTTTAAAATATGTAGGGTGCTGACATGCAGACACTTTAGGAAGCAACTTTGAGAAGGTATCCAGGACCTCTTAAAATCAGATCTTAAACGACTCAAGTTTTTAACAGGAGTACCTCGCTCTGGAGGTGATTTGTGGGTATTTCCTCTTACCACTTCTCCAGAAGCCTTCACTGGTGGAATACTTCAGTGGTGCAGCAAAGATTCCCCAAAAGATCAGTTTACCTTGTGGAGAAGTTGCCCTTCCCAAGATGCTGGAAAGACTCTTAACAGTAGCTCACATAGCTTTAGTCAGCGCTCTTCCTGCACGCACAGACGCTACTGCACTTGTGAATCAAAGACACCATATGCTACTACAC